TATAAACAATTATGAAGTTAATCAAAATAACACACATACATATACCTTTGATCCAGATTTTAATATCTCATCCAGTCTCTCCATTTCATATTCTTCATTATTATCTCTAACTTCATACACTATAAAACCAGTAGATGGTGCACCAATCAGTGGAACTAGCTCCTCCTTCAATTGAGCTAATGTTATTCTCTTATCAACTAGTACCTGTATCTCTGTATTGAATAATAAATGATTAATTAAACACTGCATAGCTAGAAATATTTGCTGAAATTTAATTTTGCTATTGCTGTTTATTACAAAAATGCACAATTAAATTCCACAAAGCATTGATGGGTGTATCGTATAAGAGCTCACACTTACACCAGCAAAATTAAATTCCACATACTGTAGGGCACTCTTTTTCAAGGGCTATAAATTTCAAACTCCTTTTTAGCAAAAGTAAATTTTGCAAATCATACCTCCCTCACACCTTTTAACTGACACAATTGCTCTCTGAGGTACAAGATTTGACAGAGGACCAGCAGAGTTTGGAAAAATCCAAAAAACATCATCAACTCTACCATTCCAAAAATGCCATCTTTACTTTAAAATAGAGGGGGGGGGCAAATGTAAAATTTTAGCATTCAAACATTCTATTGACCAAAATGAATAAATGCTTGAATGTTTGCACCATGGAATTAGATTCTTATTAATCAATTAGTTTGCCGTTTAGATCACTTTAATTAAATGCAGGACCTGCATGAGTGTATAGCTCAATGTCTAATGATTTATACATCAGATCTTATTACTAAATAAGTTATGGTATGTCATTGATTAGTAGGTGTGGTGCATACCACACCTACCAATCCACCTACTTACACTTGAATACCTGCTGCAGCACTCAATGTTCTTCTTAACAAATGAACATTCAAATGTTCCAATATTAGTCCCAGCCCTACTTTAAAATCCCCTGTAACATGTTGACAAACTCCCTTGCAATTATAATTTTTTATTCAAGGCCCTAATATTCTCAAATTCACAAAATATAGCCCTCAAAAAAAGAGTTCCCTATATATTAAATTTTGCTTGTTAGCACAAAATTGCAATATGCCACATAGCTAGAAAGTTTTGTGGCCAAAAACTTTTGTTATTTCCATGGTTTGGAATGACAACATGGAATATTAGCAGGTTAATATGAGAGACGTGGATGCTTCAATCACTCAGTGATGATCCACGAAAATAAAAACCACAAATAGACTGGAAGCCACTAAACCACGAAAGTTTTTTGTCACAAAACATTCTGGCTACATATGGTAGTACAAGTCATACTTCTTTCTTTTCCTTTATTTTCCATTGATATAATTTTCATTATTATTCCTCCTCTAGTTACATTAGTTGTAGTGGGTGTGGCTTCAGGTCCAGGCAATATTGTAATGCTCAGTAGTATTGGGTTGACAGAAAGATCAACATATCTGTACATCAAACTATCTTCGTATTCTTTTTGATAATCTTCAGGATCTGATGATACATACACTAACTGAAAGGAAACAGTGTTTGTGTGTGTGTGTGTGTGTGTGTGTAAAGACAATAAAGAGAAGAGAAAAGGAGTACAAATAAAAGAAAGTGAGAAAACAATTCTAAATGATGATAGGTTGATGATAGCTATAGTATGAAATATTGGTAGTGAATTAATATTGGTGAATTCAATTAGCATTTACATGTGCATGGAAATTTCTCAATATAAAATAAGCCATTTTGTAATTTTTACTTCATTTGCATACACACATGGGCTATTATGTATATCTAATACTAATGGTATTTTTTGGAGAAATCACAAACAAAATTCCCATCAAAATATTCCATTACAGCATTAATGTCAGTACTTGTCTGTCTAAGTATGTTGACTTTCTGAATATCTTGTCTAAAGTACATCCTACATCACTAATATCAGTAACATCATCATCATCATTCTTCACTACTAATCTAATGCATGATGAATTGAGACAATATAACTAGAGAAAGAAGCATCAAATCAATGGAGGGAGGGAATTAAGGCAAACAATATAATAACAATACATGTATATTACATAATTACTTCTCCTATATGTTGTTTTAATTCTTCAACAGTCCAACTTTTCTCAACTCTCACTAGTTTTGCTGGTCCTATTTCACCAGTTGACAGGTTAATTACTGATATCTTTAGATTAATACCTACACCATCAAACACATGTACATGTAATTAGAGGTATTGTCATATATTGTAACTCACCTCCATCATGGTATTTATCAAAAATTTCATTTTCGTCACGAGTTTCTAAAAATAATTTAAAAAGAAAATACCATCTAGTCCCACCCACAATCTGCCAAATAGTTTGGTGCTGAAACTAAAAATAACAATAAAATTAGAATAGACAAAACTTATATGTAATTATACCTCATCAAGATCAAAGGACTGTTCCAGTAAATCATTATCATAATCATATTTAACTAAACGACATCTCTCAATAGGAATATGAGGAGCTAATTCCATTAACTGATTAAGGAATGAGGAGAATGAAAGAATAAATAGAATTTAACGAAAAGTAATAAACCTCATAAGCTTTATCCAGTACTGTGGGTAGTAGTTCATCTTTATGTACTTTAAGTATTGACTCCATTAATTCTCCAGTAAAAGGATGACTACAATATAGTTTGAACTGATTAAAAAGAGTATAAAATCTACTTATTATGTCTGACTTTACTTACTGAACATATTTGATCCTTCACCTCATCCTTTAGACTATCATACTCATTCTCTTCATTACTAGTCTCTTTGTCTTCAACATTTGTCAAATCTATTCAAATATCAACAATCAAATGATGTTACACATAATGATTAAAACCTTTAATATCTTTCATAATCTTCTCATTGTGTTCTCTTTCAGAAATTAGTTCCATATTCATTAATGTTATTCTTTCTTGTAATTTCTCTATTATTCTTTTATTATCTACTAATGGCTGATAGTCTGGTCTTGTCATTGCTTTAAGATGAAATTTGCAGTCATCAATTTCAAAACACATTCCTCTTCTCACTTTGCTAGCAGCTTTAGTTAATCAATATAACTAGTATATAATTAATAAAACTATTCTAACCTGAATCAGCATTACTAGAAAGTGAAAGTAATCTCAAATAAT